TTCTTAGTTTGTGCCCGCTCTTGATACTTCCACTTAACATGTGGGAAATAAAAACACTAACCTGTCTCCTCGGGTTGTGAAAGAGAATGACCAGCATAAAAACGGAAAAATAAAAGGAGAACAGGGCACTTTGTAGATGCACTACACATAAATGCTAAATAAGGTCGGCAGGAGGTTATGGCATGTGCAGCTGTGGGAGGAGGCAGAGGGCACTGGGCACCTGAGAAGACTCCCAGACCAGGGGATCCAGGGGGTATGACGGCCTGCCCACCTTCAGAGTTGTTAATGCTCAGCCCTTTCCTGGGAAAAAGGACTTCAAAGATTTCCACCTGTCACCCAAGTGGACAGTGTCTTGGGCACTGGCATCTCTTTCAATTGCAATTTGAATCCATCAAAGAATCCAGAAAGAAGACAAGTATTCTATATATACATCTATATACATAAAACACACATACACACACACACACACACACACACACACATATATATATATGTTCAGTCTATCCTCTTAAGAGAGGATGAATCTTTGTTCTTCCAAAAACAAAGAAAGAAATAGGAACTGCTAATAATATATACCTGCACAATTTTCCAGCTTCTGATTAGAACAAGGGACCAAAACATGATCATCAAAAAATATTAATTCTGCCAGAGCAGTAATACCTGCCTGTAATCCCAGTGGCTTGGGAGGCTGAGGCAGGAGGGTCACAAGTTCGAAGCCGGCCTCAGCAACTTAGCGAGGCCGAAAGCAATTTAGTCAGATCCTGTCTCAAAATTTAAAAATAAATAAATAAAAAGGGCTAGGGATGTGGCTCAGTGGCTAAGCACCCCTGGGTTTCATCTCTGGTATTTGTGCCCCCCCCCCTCAGTTAATTCTGTGTGCCTCTCTGTCTCAGTCATCTCTCTTCTTCCTGTTTCTAGACCTGGAAACAAAAGTGAAAGGTCAGAGATTTTCTATAATTATCAAGATTTTCCACTCTGTTCAAACTTAAGGCTAATTTGCCTGGTTAGTGCCATTTCATGATGACATTTGTATATTTTCACTTTAAAAAATGTTTTAAAAGTGTAATAAGATACTACTTCATACCAGTTAGGATGGCTATTATCTAAACCAAACAGAAAATAACAAGTGTCAGAGGATGGGGGAATTAGAACACTTGTGCACTGCTTAAATGGTGTGGCTGCTATGGAAAACTGTATGGAGGTTCCTCAAGTATTTTAAAATAGATTTGCCATAAGATCCAGCAGTTCCACTTCTGGGTATATACCTAAAGGGACCAAAAATAAGAACTTGAAAAGATATCTGCATACCCATGTTCATACCAGCACTTCTTACAATAGTCACAAATGTGTTGTAGACCTATAATGGAATATTACTCATCCTTGAAAAGGAAGGAAATTGTGATACATGCTACAACATGGATGAAGCTTGAGGACATTAGTTAGGTAAAATAAGACAGTTACTAAAGATGGATGTTGCATGGTTTCATTAAAATGAAGTCAAATTCATAGAAACAGAAGGTAGTATGGTGGTTGCTAGAGGCTGGGAGAAGGAGGGAGAAATGAGAATTATTATTGAATGGTATAAAGTTTCAGATTTACAGGATGAAAAGTTTTGGAGATGGAGAGTGGTGATGTTTGCCAACAGTGTGAGCACACTGAAATATACATTGATAAAGAAATATAAAAAGAGTAAAAAGGACAAATTTTGTGTTACACATATTTTACCACCAGAAAATGTATTTATGACGTCACATTCCATTCTCAGCCATCTGTGAAGGAGGAGGGGCAGGTGGTCTAGTCTCCTCTGTAGAGTCACAGGACAACGCTGGGCCTGGTTCGGTGGGATGCACAGCTTTCTCCTGGAATGCAGAGCCCAGCCCAGCACCCTCTGGTTGCATCACCAGGGCCAACCAACCTGGTGTCTTGGGGCTGCCCCCAGGCCATTCTACCTGTGGTCCTTGGCTTAAAGGCATGAAAAGAGGTCCCCCAATTACTAAACCCCAAACACAGGGCAGCTGTGGCCTTGAAGCAGAGGCTGATTTGAACCTGACTGGCACTCTCCTCCCTTTTCTTTGTGGTTTCTCTCCTAATCAAGGACAGTAGCCCTTTTGCTAACTCTCCATACTCCACCAAGACCCCCACACCTGACTGGAGTGCATGGCCAATCTGGGCCTCCTTACACGGGCTGGAACTCTCCAGGTGGCTGACTCCTCTCTTGATCCATTCTATCCAGGGGTTCCGCCTGAGACACCATAGCTTGCCAGGCCTCCCCCACGCCACTGCTCTTAATTTCTAGGGCAGCTCATCAGAATCCCGCCCTCCCAGGAGATAAGATTTCAGCTCTCCAGGGCCCACTGCTGGACCAGATCTCTGTGAGTGGATCTCCCTCCCTTCCTTCCGTCCTCCCTCCTTCCTCCTTGCCATGATCTTGGTTTTCCTCCTTCCTCTCCTCTCTGCAGACCCCTCCATTGCTATGCCTTTAGAAAAACAGGTGCACCTGCCTGTGGCTTCTCAGAACTTTCCACCACAGGACAAAAGGAAAAAGAAAGAGCGTGAACGACATCAGGGCCCTATCAAGGCCGGTTCAAGAGGATCCTTCCCCTTCTGGGCGCCTAAGGGAGGCAAAAGCAGATTGGCCAGAGGACAGTCCCATGGCGCACTGGCTGGGGGCTGCCCCTGGGGTCCTGGGAAGGTGGACGTCGTCCGGGGGATCCGGGGTTCCCAAATGCGTGTATGTGTGTCTGTGTATGGTAGTGCTAGTAAGAGGAGAGGTGTCGAGGTCCGGGAGTGGGGGGGCGGGGGGGCGCGGGAATGGGGAAAGAATTCTTTATGCCCAGCTGGGACACCCCTAACCTCCACCCAGTGTCAACTTTTTGCTGCTTCCGTTAGATGGCGCTCAAGACTGTCTAACCACCTGTGAAAGTGCTTCTGGCCCGGAACAAAAAAGAACCGTGGGGTGTGAGGGTTGAGTCTGTTTGAGTGTGAGTGCGCGCAGGGCCGGGCACAAGGCGCCGGCGTCGCCTGGCACCACGCGTGGTCCCGTCACGGATCAGCCGGGCCCCGGGCGGGAGCGAGCTCCCTGGAGGGCCTGGCACTACTGAAGCCCTCCAAAGGGATAAGAACTTTCGCCTTCTCCTTCTCCTTCCCACTTCAGCTCGCTCCTGGGCCCGGGCCTCGCTCCCGGAGGAGCTGGGCAGCCTGGCCGCGGCCGCAGCAAGCCTGGGACGTGCAGAGTGGAGAAATGGGGGGTAGACAGGCGCTTCCGCGACGCGCGCACCACAACCCCTTTCTCCGCGCTGACTTACCGCCCCAGCTCCCAACCACAGCCCAGCGAGCGCTCTCTTTTTAAGAGAATGGGGGCAGGTGCAGGTTTTGTTATGGCTGTTTGAACCGCTCCAATGAAATTGCTGTTCAGTGTAAGATTTCCTAAGCCCAGTGCGTGCTTGTGTTCTCAACAACACAGGGCAAAAACTTTCTCATCTCCCATGCCGGTGGAGGCCGGGTGAAGTCAAACAGTCTCCCTTTTATGAAAAAGGCCTTTGGGGGACCCTGGAACGTCCTATGCGACCGCTCATTTTAAGTAATTACTTAACGAGTGATCAGGGAGCGAACTTTTCTCTCTGCCACCAAGTTCACTTCTTCTCCCACACCTTCCAGGAAAAGTGGCCTGGTGGTAGGAGTAGGTGATCCCATTCCCCTGGTCCTCTTCTTACTGTCAGCCTGAGCGGGCAGTGCGCAGCAGAACGGATGCGTCTCCCCACTTGAGAACAAGCAGAAACGGAGCTCTTCCTTTGTGAAGTCCCCTTGGCTGTGAACTTTTCCGCGCGGTAGGTTCTCCTTTAAGAAAGTAGCGATTCCTATGAATATTTAATGTGGAACTCCGGCCGGACCCGCAGACTGGAGCCCACGGGCCCGGGATCCCCCTCGCGCGCTATGGCCGGGGCGCGCAGCGAGCTCGTCCGCGTGGGTCCCGCCACCGCGAGAACCCGGGGGTAGGGGTGGGGGTGGGGTTGATCCAGGAAAAGGTTGGCAGAAAAAGGGCTGGTGACGGGGATCCCGGCTCGGGGTGACCGGGCCGTCGCGTTCATTTCCATAAGAAAGCTGAAATCGCGGTTGGAGGCAGGATTTCTCCCCGCTGGTGCCCTTCCCCCATAGCCGGTTTTCTGCTTGGAGCCGGCTCCAGAGCTCAGAACCCTAAGTGTGCGCTGTGGGCTTTGATGGTGTTGATAAAATGTGGTTTCAAATGTTGCCCCGAATGAGACCGGTTTCCTGTCTGTGTGTGGAGTGGAAGGATCGCGCAGGGTGAGTCCAGCGCGCGGGGGAGCGGCCGAGGGAGTTGGAGAGAGCGAGCCAAGGCAGCGGGCGCAGGGAACCCTGGCAAAGGGAGTCCTTCACCCGGTCTCTGAAAGGGGGAAACCAGGTTGAGACTAAGACCCCCAAGCAAAGAAATGGGGGCAGGGGTGACGAGGGAAGAAGAGAGGTTGCGAAGTCCCCAAATCCGGGCAGCCTGCGCAGGGGGAAAGGACTGGCTAGGCTCCGGCACCTCTATTCCAAAACCCAGGAAACTTTTCGCTCGCCGCCTCTGACCCTCTTCCTGCGAAGGCATAAAGGGAACTTGCTCAGATGCTTGATTCTCCTAGCTGTTCAGTTCCTTTTCCTTTTCTCATTGAGTTTCTTTTCGGGCGGGTCTTAGTGTGAACAGCAGCCTGTGTCCTACGTTCTATATAAGCACGCATACACATCTCCTAGGTACTTTGTGATCTCATCTGGAAAAATTAAAACCCAGATCTATAATATTTATTCTTAGATAGTTTACAGAAAGCAGGAAATGTGTGAGACACATGCCTGCAAATACAACAAAAAGCACTTTGCCTTCTGGAAAAAGTTGCCTACAAATGGCTGGCTCCCTTTGCCCATTCTGGACCACCTGTACTTCCCTGGGAAACTAAATCGGGTCACTAATAAAGCACTAATCAGATCAAGCAATTAAATACCAATTATGACTATAAATGACTTTATTACTAATGATTGGAATTGAAGACTCCAAACCGAGTCAAGGTAATCAAGCTGTTTTAAAATTCTGCTACCTAAGATTTTTACATCACTCTTTCCTCACAAAAAGAAAAAAAAAAAAAGTAAGAAGACCAGAGATTACACGTTTCAAGTTTGCCAGTAGGTATCCATGGACGATGTTCAATTTATTTCTCCCAGTAAAGTTTGGTAAATAATGATGTCTTCCTTTCTGGCCCTTTCAGGTTATGCAAAGTGTAATTCATGATGGTAGTTACAATATACTTGGTTTGGATGTGAACCTGGGGTAGGGTGTGTGTGTGTTCTCTGTCCAATTAGTCCGTTATTGCTGAAAACCCTAGAAGATTGTAAAGAATAAATGTTTTAACTCTTCAGATGGGGTAATGGCCATAGGGAATGCTGGGAGGTAAGGAAGTGAAGGATGCTGAATGCAAAAAGAGCAAGACAGAAATAAGAAATGTGGTCTACCTTTTTATTTTTCTTTTTTGCTGGTGTGTTGAAATGGCTTTGTTGTGTCGTAAGCCAAGTGACTGAAAAAGAAAAGGTTATTGAGAATAGTTTATCAATTTAAAGGTGACTGTGTGGCTGGGTTTATTTATTAATAAAGAGGATTTGCTACTGCATTTTGCTCTTTGTGGACAATCTCTTGTTATCCCAAATGGAAGTCCATGCTCAGCTCCTCGAGGGGAGGAGGAGACTGCTGGTGGAGTTCACAACAAGAAAAAAGGGGGAATCTTGTAGGAGCTCCTCTGCCACCCAGAAGCAGGCAGGCTAAACACCGGGCAGTTGGAGGGGCCAGCAAATCATCTTGATGTAGGTCACCTCTTCCAGGACACTGGACGTGTTTGGGGCACTGTACCTCAATACCATCTTGCTCAGGACATCTGCCCAGTACCTCAGCTCCTGGGTGGACCTTCATAGCAATTGTACACATCTGGGTTTGATATATTTGCCAGGCTGGTATGGAAATGCCCAGGCTGCCTGGCAGAAACCTGAGCTGCTTGAGATGAACACAGTCCACAGCTCAGAAGCCATAAAAGTTTTGACAGTTTGAGAAGATAGGATGGCCCCTTCCCCTTGATGTGATACACACAGCCTTCTCTTCATGTCTACTTAGAGTTCATTGCTCTGACTGGGGCATACCACACCTAAGATCAGCCAGTATAAATAATGCAGGGAAGGAAGAGATCCACTGCAGGTAATGGGATGGCAGGGGATTACCTTGAAAACTCCAATGGGCACAAAAACTCATTGGGATGAGATGGGACCGGGGTATTCGATCTTCAGTGGTTCCCAAGGAACAAATCTCTTTGGCCTGATCCAGGTTGTTGGCAATCTACGTGTACTCTGAGCCCTGAAAGCAAAACTAATATCCCTTCTATTGAGCAGCTGACCCTAAAAGCAGATCTTAACCAGAAAGCTTCATGTTAACAGTAAATTCCCTTCTGTGCCTAAGTACCCAGGGGCACCCTGAGAATAAATTTACTGTTGAACCTGAGGATCTCAGAAAAAAGGAGGCAAGAGACCGGGACAGGGTTCTCATAGCTTCCAGCAAGAACTTCCTGTCAACAACTCCAGTTTAGGGCCTGCTCACCACTAAGTCTGGGGTGGGGTGAGGAATGGCTTGGAAACAGGATGAAACTAGTTGGTTGTTCTTCCCTGGATTAGGAGTAGACAAACCTGAGGCAATAAATCCCCTTAGATGGGGAAGGATGGAGGGGGAAGCTGGCCCTAAGCATATTGTCCCTGTGGACCAGTCTGGCTGTATTCAAAGAAAGACCAGAGATATCCCAAAGTGCCCAGGAAAACTGCAGAATACTAGAGGTTGTTCTGTTCCTTAAACCCTGCCACGAGCTAGCATATCCTTAGAAGGTCCATATCACTCAGGTCTGAAGACCTGCTTTCTCGGGACACATGGCTCGGGAATCTGGGGGGAGTTGGAGGCAGGTTTCTTCCACTTACAACTTATTTGAAAATCGACATATAAAGAGGAGAGCAAAACTCTGCTCCTAGATAGGGCCCCCATGGTGTCAGAAAGCCCGTGCACCTTAGCATCCCAGTCACCCCCTGCTGGGTGGCCCTTACACATTTTTCAGGATGTCAGGTAAACAGAGAGAAAGAGGTTGATCTATCCTCAGCAACCCAAGAAAATGCAAATGAGTTTGTTTCCTAAAAGGAAATTTTACAGCTTTAAACTCTTCCCAGCAAGAATCCACCCAATTTCATCACAGTCTCCTGTCAGCATCCATAACCTACTCCACTCTTTTCCCTTTCTTCTTTGTGGCTTAAAGTTGCATTTAGGAGGGTTTATATAATGTTGTTCATGTCAGCACATCTCCCTGTTCCCACTCTCACCCAGCTCCTTGTATGGAATCGTACTTGGAAACCACACACATAAAATCTTCAAAAAATGGTTTCTGCTATTCTTCCTGAATTAACAAGACACAAACACAGTAAGTTCCATAAAATACAGTGGTCTGTGATCAGCCAAAATGCATCTCATTTGCACTTGTATGTAACCAGGGGTAGGAGACCATGTCACTCATGGCTTCCCAAATCTGTCCGCCAAGCCGGACTGACTAGCTGGAATTTCTAGCAGGGGTGGCAGGGTCATTTGTGAGGTGGGAGGCCCAGCCCAGCCCAGGCCAGCGGGAGGTGAGGGACCATCAGGGAGGTGTCTAGAGGCCCGGCCTGAGGGCTTGAAGAAGTCTGACCCTTGGCCCTCAGCAGTTCAGAGAGCTTGGAGGGTGGGTGCCCACAAGTGAGCTGAGGCCTGTAGCCATACCTATGGCCTTCCACTGGGTTGAATTAAATCAAGGGGACACTGTAAAGTAGAGGAACAGCTACCGATCATATTTTACACTCACATCCAACTGCTTCCCAAAGTTGCTTCCTCACCACCCACTTTGTCACTGGGGGAGGAACACCTATGCCTGATGGATTCCTGCACCTGCTTCTAATTCTGAATTTGGACTCTGAGCTGCTTACTGCTCACCTGTCCTCCGCTGAGCCCCAGTCCTGGGCCCACAGGTCCCGGGAGCAATCGCCTTCCATCAGCACCAAGGGGAGTGTGTGAGCCGCAGGAGGAGCTTCAGAATCCAGTGGGGGAGTGGGGCCAAGTTACTGGTCCTATAGGGTGTTTTTCCCCCCTTCTTTTTCTTTTATTCGCCAATTCACCAATCACGAGGATTTAAACCCTGAGGGTCTCCCAGTGCTAAAGGGCCCTTTTCTACCCGCTAATTCCTACCGCGTAGTTGAACGCCTGGGCTGCGCAAGGGCTCAGGGTCACAGCCAGAATCCAGTGGGGGTGTGGAGAGTGTGGTAGCGGGGCAGGAGAAACCTGGGGAGGGAGTCCAGGACAGAGTGCGCGCGAGCTGAACCGCTGGGCAGTGCCCACCTAGCTGGCGCGCCAGGGGTGATGCAGATACCCTGCCAACCCCGCCAGCTCCCTGCTGCTCCAGCCCTCTTCCTCTCGCCCAGCAGGAAGGCCTGCATCTCCAGGCCAGATTGCAGTCCGCGACGACTTTCCCGGGGCCAACCAAGGGCGAGGCAAGCTGCCCAACCAGGCCATCGCCTCACTGAGCCACCCGGGCGGTGCGGGGGTGGGGGTGGCCATCGACAAAGCCCTGAGGGCTCAGGCCCAGCCACCCACTCGAGCTCGGTGGAGACCTGCGGGGACCTGCGGGGGACCCAGGTCGAGAGGCCCGGCAGCCAGCCTCACACCCTGGGGGCCGGGATGCGTGTACAAGGTGTGCCATCTTCAGAGATCCTTGGTGGTAGTTTTGCACGAAGCCTTTGTTACAGCTTTGTCAGCGTGTGCGCCTTCAACTGCTCCCCCTCTCGGCCCCTCGGTTCCTCCCTCCCAGCCCGCTGCGGAAAGGGCCCGACGCAGGGGATCTGCCCTGAACAACTGCCCCCCTTCTACATCCCCCCCTGCCAAAAGGCTCGTCCCTTGCTTCCCATCTGTCCTTCATGCCTGGGGTAGATAAACACCATCGGCACCGCCTGTGCCTTTGAGGCCAGCCTTCCCCGGAAGAACCGGCTCTCTGAATGTGACCTCGGGCTGCGGCAGGCCAGCACAACCCTGATGCTGGTGAATGAGTAGCTCTTCTTGCCACCGCAGAGGTGATTGGGGTGGGCATCGCTGGGCGAACCCGGGAGGGAGTAAACTGCCCTCCCAGGGCCAGGATTTGACAGAAAGAGCTGGTTGAGGATGACACAGCTTTATACTAACCTGGCTTGTACTGGCCACAGGGCACCAGGTCCCAGTGCTCTTGAGTCCAGTGGCTTCCACCCAGTCCCCATATTAAGGATGTCTCTTTCTTACCCAAGGTAAACTCTAGGCAGGCAGGCTCTCTGGAGGATGCTCTGACCCACCAGAAAGTGGAAATGTAACTGTTCCTATGCACACCAACTTACATGTGCATATCATACATGGCCTCACAGTCTTCTTCTTTGATTTGTCTTCATGCGTCCCTCCCAGACCTCTCCGCCTGCACATGGTCATTTGGAGACAATCAGGTGTGTGCATCTCTCCCAGCAGAGGGTTCTGTGTGTTATGTAACGCACTCACATGGGGATGCCTCAAGTTACCATTTCGCCCCAAATCTTCTAGCACTTGGGTTTTCTAGCAGGGGGTGTCAGGGTGATACAAGTGGAAGTGGAGGCTTCATTCCCTGGGGGGCTTTTATTCCCCTCCTTGAAGCCCCAGTTCAAGGCCTAGGAACAAAGGGGGAGAAATAACTGATCTCTGTCTTTTGGTCTCTCTCTCCCCCCTCAAGTCCAACCCCCTCACCTGCAGGCCTTCTCTTTGATACACTGAGGAAAGCTGTGGGATCAGGTACCTAAGTAAATACTGCTGACCTAGGCTAGGCCCTCCTCACTGAACAGCAGAAAGCCCATTTTAGGAGCTGAGTGCTCAGTCCTTGGCTTATCCCCTCTTCCGCTCCCCGAGTCTGTGGGGGAACTCAAGGCTGCCTAACACCTTCTCTTGTTACAAAAACACCCAGGACAGGCCTGAAGGTGTAGCTCAGTGGTAGGGTGCCTGCCTAGCATGTGCAAGGCCCTGGGTTTGATCCCCAGCTCCATAAATAAACATATAAAGAAATACAACTTTTTCAAAATCCAGGACAAATATTAAATGGTTTTGGAAGAATTAAAGACCTTTTTCTCAGGGTTGAAACATTTTCAAAGCCCTGCTTGGCAGAAACCTTCATGGTGTACAAAGTAGAAACAGCAGATTTGCTGGAGCAATCCTGATATTTGAAAGTTTTCTCCTCTAAAAAATGTAAATTAAATATACTTTGTGGGTGCTATTTTGTTTGCTGATGGCTTTTTCACTTTTGTAACCCAAAGATCCTCAAGACTAAGCTACTAAGACATTTATTTTCATTTTGTTAGTTTCTGGGTGATACTATACTTTCTGATTAGTCCTTTTGAATGTATCTTTAACTCTGCAGGGGAGTTTTCAACCTTGGAGATATAAATGCAAAATAGACTCCCTCCCTCTGTGATCCTTAGAGTAGCAGTTTGGAACCAACCTGCCTAGCCCTTACTGCACCTTGACATTGTCCTATCTGAACCTAGGCACTGAGGGTGGTGGGTTGTGACACCTTTTATTTCAGTACTGGCACACACACACACACACAAAGGCTTTGAAATGAATCTCTATTCTATTTCAGTGTGCACTGACTGTTCCAGCCGATTAAATGGGCTTACCTTCTGCTGAGAGGCAGTCCCCAGGGCAGAACTACAGTGTGATCTCTCAGGAAGCTCTTCATCAAAACACCTCTTGTCCTTTTTTAAAAAATAAAATTTATTTTAAAAAGTTTGTGCCTCTCTTTCAGTGTTTGTCCCGTTATTTGGTAGCTACAATATGAAACATGAGCATCAGTGATCATTCTTTTTGTCCTTTTGTAACCATGTCTAGTAGTGAGAACTTACAAAGTTCCAGACAAAATTCAGGTATGTTCCATGCTTTTCATGTTTAAATAAAACTCACTGGGGCACCCAGAAAATTCACACTTCCTCTGGACAGCTCTTCCCCAAACAAAACTCCTCTCTCCACTTACAGGAGGTGGAAGACTCACTTAGAGAAAACTTCCTGAATTCAAACAGCAGACTCAGGTGCTATAAATAAAGGCTCCTAGTCCTCCCCAGCATGGTCCCTAGGCATAACTTTTCTCAGAAAGGAAGCAGTCCAACGGGCATTGTCCACAGGCATTTTAAAAACTATGACCACAGAGTAGGTTTTACAGATAACAATTTTCAGAGATTCTCAGCCAGCTCCAGCTGTCTAAATTTTAGTTTTGTTCACATGTAAACCACACACATACCAACTAGGGCCACATTACTAGCTCCTTTCTACTGGGCAACTCTGATGTCAGCAACCACAAGCAACAAACTTCTTTTCTGAAGAGTCAAAAAGAAAACAAAACTATCAGCATATATTTTGATTAGCTTACAGTGTGGAATATCACAGACAGGAACTGGCCAGGTAGTTTAGCTTCTTTTTCAAGAAACAGGTAGGATAACCACTCTCCTTCCCTTCCCCCAAGCTCCAGCTATTTTGGAGCTTTCCAAAGGGGAGGAAGAAAGGAAAAGTTCTATTAATGAATTACATACATGGAATGTGGCTTGTCTAGGGCAATTGTATTTGTAAATAAATGGTTTCCTGTTTACTGTGCATGTTTTGCTGGCAAAGGAACTCGGAGCACAGCCTAATACAACAAATACTTCAACTTAAGGCTTGTTTCAATTCCATTGTTATTATTTTTGTACTCAATAGAAAGATGCCGGACTCAACTGAGTCAGTTGTGCGGTTTCTTATTCCTAAGTGTCCAGGATGACCCGGAGACATGTCATTTCTAAAGTTTCCCCTTTACAAAGGTTGTTGGACTGGGGGTTGGCTCTCTGGGAATGTTAGCAGAATCAATGTAGGGTTTCACTTTTGCCCCTGGATCTTTCTAAAGCTAACGACGGCCTGTTTTTACAGCTTTAGAAGAGAAACCGGCCAGCGATCTCATTGGCCCTTGCATTGGGCACAGACCAGCGGATTGGCATCTCTGCCTGACCTTGCCACCAGAGCCCGCACAGGGCGTCTCAGTATCGCCCTGCAGGTCTGGGGCCCACAGTCCCCGGGCAGGGAAGCGGGGCAAGGGGAGTGTCCAAGCCCTGATCAGAGAACAAGCAGCCTACCTTGGTGTGGCACAGAGTTTCCCACCGGCGGGAAGCTGAGCCTGAACCCAGAGCCCAGGGCTATTCCTTGAATTCCATGGCCGGCCGAGGGCAGTGCAGGGCCTGGCAGCCCTTAGCTTCCACAAAAGCCTTCAGATGCCTCCCGTCTTATCCCTGCGCTGCCGTCCCAGCTGCTTAGACTGCAGTACACTCTCACACAATGCGACCTTTCTGCACAAGAGGCCATTCGGTTTTGACCCCTTCGGCACCCCCACCCCCACCCCAACTCGGACAGGAGCAGAGGCGTGCAGACTGGAAGCTTTTTCTGAGTCAGCGCATCACCTGGCACATGCAGCATCCTTGGACAAGAGGCGCAAAGTCAGTCCCTCACATAAATAAATCTCAGGCTCTGGTCCCTGGGCTGGGCCACTCTTTGAAGACCCAAAGGGTCACGAGTCGAGCTCCATCTTTACTTTGTCCACAGTTCGAGGGCTCCAGAGCAACCGGAAAAAAAGATTTCTCAGACAGGCAGGGTCAGCCCGGCCCTGTGAACACAGCCCCTCTGAACTCCAGGGTCGGCAGAGCGGGAGGCCGCGACTATTTTCCGCAGAGAAGCGACACCACTCCAGAACGGAAAATCTGCAGATATGGAGCGGAGGGCCTCAGGGTTTTCTTACCTTACTCCCCACAAAAGCCTCCCCTTCAAGAGTTCTGGCCAAATCCTTGGAACTTGAGCTACTTCGGCCTTCAGCAACTGCCCCAAACTTGCAAGGAAACTTTCTGAAGTTTCCTTTGCTATTTCTCCAGCCACTGGGCTTGTCCATTACTCTCCTAACTGCTTTTTAGACCCTAGGGCTCCCAAGGCCTTGACATTTCCATAACAACAACAACAACAACAACAACAATAACAACAACAACAGTTATTGGGTGAAGAAGGAGAACAGGATCAGAGGGTGAGGGGGTTTGGGGGGAAAGAGCAGAAATGTTGATGAAAAGGGATATTTCAACCTGTGCTTCAAAAAGGTTTCAGTTGACAATTATCAGTAATCCCGATAGACAGCTCCATTAAAAAAAAAAAAAGAAGAAGGAGAAGAAAATTTACTACTGCTCTTGAAAGCCGTTATTTTTTACATCGCTTTTAGGAAGATAGATGAACAAAACATCGCGTTTCAAGCCATTTTGATCTGTAATTAAATGGCAGGATCGGTTTGTATTCTCCTACGGCTTTTACAGAAGTTGCAGTGATCCAAAGTCGGGTTGCTGTGTCAGAGTGGCATTTTTATTAATGAGAATACAAAAAGCTTGCATATTCTTAGCCCTGCTTGAATTTAGTTGCTAAGCAACCGGTGTATGGTAATTCATCCGCGAAATTTAAATCTTTGAGAAAGGATCGTGCGTTTTGCTGAATGGTCGCCACGAGGAAAACAACTTGTGGGACCCGCGGCAGCTGCCACCGTCGGGCCTCCCGGCCGTGCCGGGCAGAGCAGGGACCCGGTCGCCCCAAGGCGACCGCCACCGCCCAACTTCCTCGCCCGGCTCTGCCCTCCCTCCCCGAGAGAAGCCGGCTTTGGACGCCCAAATGCCCCCGCCCCTCCCGCCCGTCTCTAGTGATCTCGGGGTTTCACCCCAGGCCGGCCCTACACCTGACCATGTCCCTGCGTCCCTGGGGCTTCTCAGTCCAGTCTGCGAATTGCATCCTCCCTGTCCCCTCGCGTGCACCCACATGCACTCACGCACACGCGCGCGCGCGCGCGCGCACACACACACACACACATTGTGCTGAGGATAATGCCTGTTGCCCTCTTCCCAGACCCCTCTGAGGTCACTTCCAGAGCCGACTCTTCCTCGAGGAAGACCGGACTCATCAAGAACGCAGCCCACAGCCCACCAGAAGGCCAGGCGGCCGCCGCTGGCCGGCAGTGACATCATAGGCTCCTGCTCGCCAAGCTCGCGCCCACATTTTAGGATACAGGAACAAACACGGATGTGAAATCAAGAATGAAAGAGAGAGTAATCTAATTAATAGGCCATGAGCCAGGCTAACAAAATCAAAGAATCTGATTACACAAGGACCCCTCTTGCTATCTCCGCTGCCCCCACCCCCAGCTCTTCCAGACTCCTTGCTATTTCCTTTCCTAGACTAGAAAGTTCAGGAGGTAAAAGCAGAGCCCTCCGATTTCCTTATTGAAATCAGGATCAAGCCTACCGTGGGGCTCCGGCAGCAGGAGGTCATGGGGATGACCTTCAGGCCCTGAGACCAGCAGCCCCGAGGAACTGAGATGACCAAGTAACCTACAGAACTGGGAGGGCTCAAGAGGCAGCCCCCACACTTCTTAGATGCCTCACTCCTAAGAACAATAGCAACACCTGTAGTGATTGCTCCTGCTGTCAGAAGCAGGACAGGCGAAAGGGGTTCTCCACTCACAGTCATTTTAAGAGTTTTTGTTTTTGTTTTCTTTTGCTTCTTACCTGGCACCACTCTTTCTCCTACATTGCCTTGCCCCTGGGTCACCAACAACCTCAAACTCTCAAGTCTCTTTCAAGTCCTATTCCCAGCATAGAGTTCTGAGCACAGTCAGGTATTAGGTGTTATCACTGAAACACAGAATCTGCTCTAATTGGCAGGGTCAGCCACCTGCATTTCATTCAAAAAGAAAATTCTTTAATTTCTTTCTCCCTTGAAAAAAGAAAAAGCAGATCCACTTTCTAAATAAGTAATTTCAAGTCTGCATTCAGTGCCAATACTTGTTGCATCCGTTTTAGAGTTGATTAATTACCCTGGAACTTGGGCAAACTAAACTCCATGTGGAGAGAAGGTTTCTTCCTTCAATTTAGTCCTGAAAGCTACAAGTTATTGATGGATCTTGCTCTATTTACATACAAATTGGTACAAATATTCCCATCTCTTAAAATGCATTTTGTATAGATATATAAAAGTGTCATTTTTGATTTAGCTTGAAGAGGTTGATCATTTATTACAAAAATAAACGAATAAATACAACAATATATTGTTGCTTCCAACAGGATAAATACTTTACAAATATATAATTTAAAAAACAAATTTAATTGTTAAAATTATTTAAAATATTACACTTATCGATAAAACTATCAATAATATATACTGCATTTGATATTAGAACCAATTTTCTCTGAATGTTGAAAACCATTCATACAAAACAGATTATGAGCATAGTAATGAGCAAACACTGGAGACTACAGGGAAGCGGAGGGAATCTCTAAGATCCATAATGGACAATTCTATTTTGGAACAAAGAAATACAGTCCTTGGCTAAGTACTAAGAAAAAAAGGTAGGGCAACAAGAGCAAAGTGACTATTTTAAAACACACCTTGAATGATTTATCACACAGATTGCCAGGAGAAGATGGTTGGGTGAATGAGATGACCACAGCTTGGACAACTGATCAAGAGCCACAGGGTACTGTAAACTATAAATGGGCCTAGTTTGGGATTAGCCAGTCTGATGGGACAGAACTTTGTCACTTTCCTTTGGGTTGGAAGGGGAGGTGGGGGATGGATTGAAATGGAGGAAACAAATGGGCACTTTTACGAAGCACAAGACACTTGCGCTGCAAAGGAACACAATGACCAAATTCATTAAAAAGATCTGGTGATATATAACAATATTTTCATTATTTACATGTGTAACAATATAAGCCTTAGCACAAAACCTCAGTTACATCTCCCCTCTTTTGAGTTTCAACCATGAATTTCATTTTATAAATACATTCAAAGGTTGATTAAGAAAAAAAAATGCAACAGAGTCCAAGCATTAGCTCACTTTATAAAATGCAAAATAATGAAACTAAATGGACTTGCTTGCCCAGCTTCTCCAATTAAAAGTTACTCTGCTACCCCCAAATCAGGGCTTCTTCCAAAGTAATCAGCAAAGGTTGCTTTTTAATAGAAAACAGTGTGAAATCTAATGTTAGCTGTTTTGTTGTCAGCTAAATCAAGTAAGAAGATACCTCCTAAAAATTTAAATAGACCCACTCCTACTCTCCTAACTGCTTTTTAGACCCTAGGGCTCCCAAGGCCTTGACATTTCCATAACAACAACAACAACAACAATAACAACAACAACAGTTATTGGGTGAAGAAGGAGAACAGGATCAGAGGGTGAGGGGGTTTGGGGGGAAAGAGCAG